CCTGGGGCGCGCCCGGAGTGCGCGCCTTTGGGGGGGGGGGCCTGTCATGCCCCGATCGTCCGCTCCTCCTGTGTGCCACGCCCCCTCGTTAACCCCGTGTGGATTCCCCGTGTTTACCAGCTGTTCCTGATTGTTGTCATTAGTCCATTGTATTTAGTCCGCGTTTCCGTTTGTTTCCCCAGTTCGGTCATTGATGTGATGTTATGTTGCATTGTAGCGTGCCTCGTCTACGATTAAACCCCATTTTCCCTATCCCTGGATTCCTGCCTGTTTGTCTGTGCTCCGGGCGCGTACGCGCCGTGACAGCCGGTTTAGAAGAGAGAGAAGTAAGGAGCATGAACTGATTACATCTGGCTGCAGACTCCGCCAGGAGGGTCTCTACTGTGCGGCTGGAAATTCCACTCCTGCCCGGACACGACGCTACTAAAGAGAACTCAGTAGGCTGGATTATTAAAGCTAGTTATCTGACGTCATCTCCACCGCTATTGGGGAGATTATGTGATTCCGCGCCCCCTAGTGGTGGTATATCCTACGTTATACAGAGTGATATGGTATAATCCTAGTGGAGATAACGATAATAATAATATCCTATCCTATATTATTATTATACATTACTATAATTTATTATCAGTAATAATACAACTTATACAATGCTATAATTATATATAAAATGTTATATAAATATTATACAAATTATTATAATAATACTACAATCATTATTAACAATAATAATAATATTTCTATCCTATACTTTGGCTCTGTTTCTGAAGTTTGCATAACGTCATGTACGGCCCAGGAGTGGAGGTCATGTGATTTCTGGTCCCACAGTGGAGATCCTCCTAGCGGAGACGCCCAGTGTTCTGCAGCCAGACCATTCTCCCGGTTTGGGGGAGACTACAGGTGCCATCTAGTAAAATACTAACGAATCTCAAAAACATAAAAGTAAACTCACTGCATGTGCATGAAGAATAAATGCAAAGGATTTCTTTGTGAAATCAAAGATGTAGAACTATATCAGAACATATTTTAACCTTGTTACACTCCCACACAAAGACGATATAAGCACCTATAAAGTCTTTGTAAAAAAAAAAAATGATGAATGAATTAATAGTGTTTTTGGTGATGTCTGTTTTGTCTTTTCCCTTTGGATACTGTCTAAACTGTCACACACAGAGAAACTCACCTAAATACAAAAATGGAAATCCATCTACATACAGTGCAAAAAGCCACACTCATCACAACAATTGCATGAATACAATCATAAAATGGTATTAATGGTATTATTAATAAAAGCATGCAAACACACTTACATTTCTGTAAGCCTGGTCTGGTCCTGCACTCTCCACTTTGGTCCACACTATAGGAGAAGCAGAATGTATAATTTTAGAATTAGAATTTAATGATCAGTGGTTATTGTTGACACACCACAGCACACAGTGCACAACAGCAAAATGTGTCTTCTGCATATGTGTCATTGTGACATAGCAGTGGGCAGCTAATTCAGTGCCCAGGGAGCAGTGCTGGGGGGCAGTACCTTGCTCAGGGTACCTCAGTGGTGCCTTGCTGGTCAGGGATTCCATTCAGCAATCTTTCAATTACAAGTGCACTTCCCTAACCATTAAGACATAACATAGTACTGCTGTATCCA